CTAAAGATTTTGCAGGCTAGTTCAAACTAGATTCAGGTGCAAGCAGGTGGAAAAATGATGGAAAGTGGAAGACATTAATAGTTTGAACCTCTGCCAGTCTGCAAAAATAATTAGTCCCAATTATACCTCTCTTATTGTGAAGCACAAAACCCACCAAACAGGATTAGCCTCCATTAGAATAATTTTAACTAGGAAGCATATGGTTTCCTAGAGTAGCTGTGTACATAATTCTAAAATTGCTCTACTTTCATCCTCTATTCTTACTCCACTATTAGAAAAGCTATGATCACTGGTGAAAAATCTTGGTATAGACTACCAAAAATCCTTGGACCGCCTTCACTCATGTGAACTTTCTTGAATGTATGTGTAATTTATGTGTATTTTACTCATTAAATCCAGGTTCTTCGTTCCTTTTGATGACAGTAAGCCCCACTATATGGTCTATTTCAAACTCTTCAAGGCCATGGTGAATTCCCTGGATCTGTAAAATCCACGTACACAGATTTCTTCTGATTGTGCACAGGGATACACAACTAGACCACTCTAATTTGGTCCATTAATACCTTCATTGTCCATACGCTTCCAACATTGTAAACACTGTTGGAACACTTTGCACATGCCTCCAAATGGCTTGTGCTATCTGTGGGGCAAAAGCCTTGGAGTGTTGGGAGGTGAATTTTTATTGCTGTCAATCTATTTTATCTATACAGAGGGTTACAGAATTTTAAGTTTTGGAAGAACACAGACAACACAGGGCTCTCTCACTTTGTATTGATACCTTTTCTGCACCCTTTGCACATGAATTTTAGACCAAGTAGCTTGTATGTCCTTTTATGTAAAGCCACTTCTAGTAATATGGAAGTCCATTTCAGTAAAAATAAATACCTAATCATTTGCAATACTTCCATTGTTTAAAAAAACCTGTATATCAGTCAGAGCTAGATGGATCTAATAAAAAAAAAGATACCAATTTAAATAAGTATTTTAAAATTGTAAACTTAGAACTTTTCAACAGGCTAAATTGAAATTATCATGGGAACAGCAATTCAATATGCAAAGAATATACAAGGTCCAAGGATACCTACAAAAGTGCAGTTTTCATGTATGCCAACTGCATTCTTGGTTATAATCTAACATTCAAAATGTTCTCCAGTTGAAAAAAAAAAAGAAAAAAGAAAGAAAAAGGGAGTTAACTGCATTAGAACCATTATAGATTCTCTGTACTTTGAAACTCACTGAAGAAAAAATCAGAGCTGAGAAGGATTCAGTTGCTCAGTGCTTTATTTCACAAGTGAATGAACATCTTGGCAAACATGTAGTATCATACTTTCCACATATCAGCAGAGCCCAGGCAGCAGCAAAATGTTACTGATCTCTATGCTTTATTGGATGTTAAAAGGAAAAAGAAAAGTAAATTGAGCATAATGTTCAGCTATAAATATTGTCAAATATATCAGCTTTCAGTCTGTTTTAATTAAACTAGATCTTATGCTGCCTCCTGTTGGTCACCTACAGACAGAAACCTCTGTCAATAGACTCCACATTATGAACTGCAGTCAGCACATTCTACAGCCTACAACTTGCCTACTACCCAATACTAACCAGAGGAGGTAAACAGTTTGCTTCATGGAGTAATACCATCGATAAATCTGAGCTGGTAAATCTACTCCATTTTGTGAACAGAATGAATTTTTAACAGCAGTAAACTGACTTACTACAAATGAATTGTTAGGATATAGAAAACAAATTAATTAGTACATAGATAATAATAACAATAATCAGGCCTGTGCAAACATAATCAATATAAAGACCTGAATAATGGACATTTATTATAACAACTAAACCAGTATGATAACATTACCAAAGTGCCATAATGTTTTGCTAGCATTCTTTGGAAATTATCCAATATAATCATCACTGGATATTAAAATCCCACATACAATATATATTATCTTCATGTACATTATACTGCTCATGCTTATAATGTGTTCTGTGATATAAAATAGAATACTATTAGAAATGTTTTGGTTACATCGTTTAAGTGCAAATAGTAATTATAACTTTACATGCAATTTGTATGGTTTAAACATCTTACTCTACTTCAGTGAGAACATAGGTAATCGTTAATCTAGTTGTCAACTATTTTTAGAGGAAAGTATTTTTTCATAAAGTACTGTGACTTTTGAAGAGTCAGAAAAGCTATAGAAAAACTCGCTTTCACTAATTTTGTGACTTTTCCTTAATTGCATAATAGCTGCGTAAAGTAGAATGAAAAATCTATTTGATCCAGACCTACGACAGTAACTTGTGCAAGTAATTCATCTGCTTCTGTGTAGCTGACTTCACTGCAATTTCTTACATCTTTAGCAATTAATCACTGGGTTTGGAACATATGCCCTTAATTCTGTCATAAAGCCTTGTTTTTAACCATGACTTTTAACGCAACTTCTCCTGCATTCAATTCTGCTACCAGATTTAACACTTTGTATGGGAAATTGTGGCAAATGACCTTTTTTCTTTCTGTGAGAGCTGTAGCATGGGCTTACCTGCCTAAGTGAGGAAAATCAGTACTACTTCACAGTAACTTTTCTGTAAGAAATGCTATGAAGTAACTGACACTACTACATTATTTCCTGATCACTGAGTTAGAGAGCTCAACTCCATTTGAAATCCATGAATGATTTGTCAAGCTGGGAACTGACATGAGCTCCTGTGCAAGTGTAGCGTAGAATATGAAAGCAGGTCTATTTTTCCAATTAAGCTTCATTCAGTTTTCACAATCTATGCTAATTTATCACATACATCATTGCTCTGCCTGATGTCACATGCCAGAGTTTTATACATATAGCAAGTAGCTGGATAAAAGACTGCCAAAAATTTGCTGTAAGGAAAACTTAGGGGAAAAAGCATCACCTGAATTACTGACTCACTCGTTGTTTATTGTGATCCAGCAATTTGGCCATGACAGTGGCAATTAAAAAACCCTTGCAACTCTCTAGTCTCTTCCAATTTGCATAGCTATTTATACCCATGTACTATGGGAATGTTACTTTTCTCATTGCATAAATTGCATACTCATACTACTCAGTTATAAAAACAACACAAAACACAAGCAATGGAGAACTGGGCATTGTATTCTGACAATGCGACAAGTTGCAATAATTAATGGTTAATGAAGTCTCTATGCTACCCTGAATAGCTTTCTTAATACTAAAACTACTGTTCTCCTATGTGTCTAAGTTTTCTCTTAGTGTTTCAGTAAGCAGGAATAGTATTCTTCCTCTCTCTACTCAATACTACTCAATACATTTGCTTTGCACTAACAAAAAGTAGGTGTGTTCCAATATAAAAATACTTGCATTTCAGTAAGGTGATTGTAAAGGTTACCTAGCTAAGTGCAGTTATAATATGATTTGGAGACTTACTATGCAAAAAGCAAAATAAACATGGAAGTTGCCTGAAATACTGTAACAAGCTATTTACTTTTATAGAACTCACACCTTAATACAAATAAATAATTGAGTGGGAGGGGTTTGCTCTATTAATATGTTCTCCAAATGTGCAGAATTTTAATTTACATACTTATGAAAAGAGTTATGATGAATGTTATCTAAATTTATAAAGGTATTGGATAACAAATTATAGAATCAATCACAGAATCAGAGCTTTCCATTGTTTACTGTTCAAAACAGAAGTATGTTGCTAAGCAACATTAAGCTTTAAGCATTAATATTTAGCTTGACTTTTCCAAAAAGTACATGCAGTAGTAATGTGATCATGAACTTAATCATGGTTGTCTCAAGTCATATGAAAGGTGTTTCAGATGCCTCACTAAATGTTACTCATTTTTAAACTCTTTGGAAAAGATGTGCTTAGATGTTTAGAACCATTCTGTCTGGAATGAGACAACCTTACTGCTCACATGATACTTATACGGAACATAAGGGCTCTCAATGTCTTCTTCAAATAGCTGGTAAGAAAGGAAATGCTCAGGCTGTAGAAGATGGCAAATGAATTTATGAAACCAAGCTAATTTCAGTGTCTTTCTGTCAGACAGAGGACCCACTCTGTACACATGAGATCAAACTTACATCACAATGTATGCCTAGACTAATACTAAAAGTCCATTACAATTTTAACATTATAATAGATGACTACTCAAAGTTTATCAAGCAATATATTGCATAGTGTTTACTAATATTTAAACACTTAAAGTTACCATGAAGTAAAACATAAAGTGTTTTAATTCATTTAAACCACTACAGAAGATTTTTTCACCTCAGGAATACTATTTACTTTGACTTTTAACATGGGGGTGTTTTTTTGTAACTTTGTATTTGATGGATGACAAGATACAAACTTTTCCCATAGTTACCCCAAGCAACAACTAAAATATGTTACAGCTTGCTGCTGTAAGCAGCCCAGTGACTGCTTAGTAGGTAGCACTGGAGACTTCAGAGATGGAAGACTTCTGTTACAAAACATCCTGAAGTGTTTTTTTTTCTTTAGTTAACAGCATGACTGAAGCAAAAATATCACATGAATCATCCATCCTGTAAAATCTTACCCACCCTGCAGTATGTTATCAACACTTATCTTGCCACAGGTAATGGGATGGAAACAGAAAATAAAGCTACTACTAAGGCACAGGGATGGAGAAAAAGTGGTAAAACTGAAGAGCTAAAGTAGGATGATAGGAATCATCAGTCTCTTCAAGTTAGATACCTGGTTTTAATGCTGTGAAGGTCACTTTGGCTCTTGCCCTTGCTAAGGTCATTCTGATAAGATAAAACTGACAGTGAATTCCTCTTACAGGTTTATGAATATACAAAATCTAAATAAACCAACACTAATTAGATTTCTTTTAAACTTCAGTTACATAGGGAAAACAGTGTCACAGTCAGTTTTCTCACTCAGCAATTTGTCTACTGGGACAACTGTGACTATTACAGAAATAATGGCACGTATTACACAATTAATTTCTCATGACTATTCTTTTTTGAAAAGTAATATAATTACAAAGAAGACTTGTATATAAAATTAAATAATGCTTTCTGTATAATGACTACCATGAATGACATTTTAATGGACTCTTCCAAAAGCAATTCTACAGCATACAATTTAAACTGAAGATTTAAACAAAGAAGTACATATTTCTCCATCTGTAAATTAATACTTAAAAATCTGTTCTAAAACTTGTGCATTTAAATATTCTTCTGACTCAGGAGTTTCAAAATTCTCCCGAGCAAATTGTCAGTACAGGTGACCAGGGGTCCCTGTATTTATTGAACTGAATGACCTGACAATAAAACTCAGTTAAGGCTCTTGGCATTGGTGAAACTTCTTCCCATTCAGACCTACTACTATGGTAGACTTGAACTTCATCTGTGATTTCTTCTGGAGCATAATCACCACCCAGTATATAAATTTTGTCTTCTGTCCCAACTGCCCCTGCATTAAAGCCAGCACATTCAAAAGATCCTTCCCCTTTCCAAACACAGGTTTCTGGGCAAAAACTGTAGACCTTGTAGGTGGAGAGATCACATATATACAATGTACAATTAACTGGAACAGCTTTGATTAGAGTTGCATGGAAAAACTGCCCAAATTCTGCTACAAGCTCAGACCACTGATCAGTCATAGCGTTATACTTAAAGAAACAGTCAAGAGATGGATTAAAGGCATCAGTAATCTCTACTTCTGAGCCAAGGACGTAAATTATATTCTGACATGCACTTGCTTCTGGATAGTATATACCTCTTGGTAATTGGCTTACAGATTTCCAGTCTTTGGAAAGAGGATTATAGGATTCTACATCCAAAAGACTTCGGGTTTCTTGAGCTCCTCTGGTCTTTCCACCTATTACAAAGAGCTGATTTAAGGTTACAACAGATGTGTGCATTGTCCTTGGTCTTTTCATAGCTGACACTATGGAAAATTCATTGCGGACGGGACAGTAGCACCAAATTGGCTTACAGATTTCCAGTCTTTGGAAAGAGGATTATAGGATTCTACATCCAAAAGACTTCGGGTTTCTTGAGCTCCTCTGGTCTTTCCACCTATTACAAAGAGCTGATTTAAGGTTACAACAGATGTGTGCATTGTCCTTGGTCTTTTCATAGCTGACACTATGGAAAATTCATTGCGGACGGGACAGTAGCACCAGGTTTGGTCAGTCATGAAACGGTAGCAATATGAAGCCTGACAGTCCTGTAACAATTCCCCTTGCATCCTCCAGTTATAAATATTTTTTCTCCATAGCTAGATAAACTGGACCCTGGCAGGTCAACCATGTGCGTATGTGGTAGTTCTTTCCATGTATCTGTTTTGATGTTGTAGCAGAATGTATGTCTGTTTTCTCCATCTTCATCAGTTTTATGAACAAATATATATTTTTCTGTTGTTGAAGGACGTGCATCTGGAAACAGTCCACTAAAGTTTTGCACACTTTGAACTGCATCGTTGATTATTACTGAGCAATTAGCACTCTTAATTAAGTGTTCTTCAGAATGCAGAAAGTCCTGCAAAGTCTTTTCAGGTAACTGGTGTAGTCTCACTTTTTTAATCAAATTAGGCAGGTATTTCTGCCGTGTTTCTAAGTTGTGTTTGGTCCATTGAAGGACAGCTTTCAACACTGATTCTTCCTCAGGAACATTGAGTTCATCAGCCTCGAGACATTTTTGTAGTATCTCAAAATTCATCTCCAAAAAATCACTTGATCTGAGCAGCAATGAAAAGTGGTGCTGTACAAAATCTAGTGCATGATCAAATAAGCGGACGGACCCATAGCTTTCTGAGAGAGAAAGCAACTGTAAGCAATTCACAAGATCAATACTTTTTATTAGAAAGTCACTGCAAGCTTTGGAAAGGAGTGAAACTTGAAGAAATGAAGATAGTTGAAAGAGCATTTCCACATTATCATTTGTTATCTCTGTTTTTCCTGTGTAAGCGTAATCAAGAAAAGCTTTCACTGCCTTGGGTGATAGATTACTAATAGTAACATTGCCATCATCTCGTTCTTTCATATTAACTTCAAACATGGCTCTGTGAATAAAATATAAAGATATACACACAAATTAAAGATTTAGCAAACAGCAGAGGACACTGATGTGAGAGGAAGAAGACAGTTGGGACATATAATAAGGTGGGCTGGTCTAAAATACATCTGAAATATGGAAGGTCTTATAAGAAAGAACAATGCATTTACTTGCTATATTTGAAGAAAAAAAAGGAGTGGTGATAAGAAGACATTCAAAGTGATGGCTTAAAAAACTGATAGCAGCACCTGTGTTTTGTATATGGATTTTCACAGACAGCAATGAGGTCAATGTCAGAGAAAATGTGAAATGGTTCAGGACAGCATCAGTTTCAACACCTCAGGAAAGAAAGGCTGATTTTTAAAAAATATGTAGAAGAAAAGCCCCATGATTTAGGTCATGCACTGTGGAGGAATACATAGTTAAGTGGAAAAAAAGCCTTCCAAATTGCAGGCTGAGCAAATGGCAGGATGGATGATGGCTGCATTCCTCAGAAGTAAAAGTAGGTGAGGGAACTTAATTCTTGCTTTAGAGTTGACAGAGAGATGTATTAGTATAGGCCAATGCCAGAAAAAAATGAGGCTGACATATGATTGCATGACACAATGAAATTGCAGAAAGTAGACTGTGACTGAACACAAAGATGATGCTTGAAATTGTGGAATGAACTATTGACCAGTAGATTTGTGGAAATTTTATTACAATTCTAACTACTTTATTATAAATATGTAGTAACATTTAACTATTTCACACAGTTTAACATGGCAGGATAATACAATTAAAGTTTTTCAAGCCAGTAAGTGCTGGCAACAGAGTAGTGCTGTGACATCCCTTGCCCTACCCTCCCAGAGCCTAAGCATCAGGCTGGGACAACAATCTGAATTTGCTTCTGAATTTGACAGTGGAGGAAGACTTAGGTAAATCATCAAATGCTAAGTATAGAATCTGGATTATTAATATATCATAGATCACATTTTAAAAAGTATTATATCATCATTCAATTATACAATTAAAATCTGTATATAGTATGAGACTTTTAAAATCCCATCCTTTTCTGAAGCCAAAGAGGTAAAAAAACCAAAACTGTGCACAGCATACTTTTTGGGAAGTGAACATCCAGTAAAGCAGGAACTTGCCTGACTTCCTGAATGAGAGCCTAAAATTACAGTAAGACACTTCTATCCCAAAGACCTCTTTGCATACTAAATGATGACCCTTAGAATCCTTACCTCTTTAACCCAAGAGCTGTGATAGAAATACAGAGTGAAAAACCAACTGAACAACACCAGTAGTAGGAGAGCAATCTAGGCAAAGGCTTTAACTCTGAAAGCTAACAAGTATGGATCAAAATGTTGCTGAATCTTCAATTTATACAATGAAACTAAGAGAAGTCCAAGGACCAAGAAAGATAAAAGGTTTTCCATTTTAAAATGTGGACTTAGGTACTTTTTATTCCTTGAAGCTAAAAAATGAGCCTTGCATTCCAGGACAATTTATGAATTTGATAGCTGCTGTTATCAACTATTAGAAGCAGGGAGAGACCTTTCCTGGCAAATTTTAATCTGAAAACCCTGTAGGTAATGAAAAGGACCCATATGTTATATGGACCCATATGTGCTTAACTTCAGTTCTAGAAATTACTGGAGGCTATTTCATCCTAATATTTCTTTCTACCAGAGCATCTCAGTGCTGTCAAGCAGTAAAGACATAAAAGCAAGTAGTTCTGTGTGTCAGAGAAAAAAAAACAAATCTGCTGCTACAGTGGAGAAATAGCTTATTTCATCTATACTTCTTGGGTTTTTTTCGGTAATTCTGAGAATACATCTAAGCCTTTATCTTCTGTCATATATAGCAGACTGCCAGAGACCATGGGATACTCCAGGCCATTTGAAAATAACACCTGTCACCTATGTAGGGGCAACCAAGTCAAGGTCATTAACCCATTTCCAGGAGCCCTTTTTTTTTTTCATTGTTAGAGAGTCTTAGCTTTGAGTGTATTTGGAAACAGACTTTCAGTGTGGAATTAAAAGTTTGAGCCCTACTACTAAAAAGGTTAGCAAGGTTCTTCATAAATTAATATCCTGCATGTGACTGATCTGGCTGTCCCTTAAGAATACATGGCTTTAAGCACCAGAAGGAAGATCACAGATCCATTCTATGCTTAAAGGCTGAAGTCTATTGTTTAGAAAAACTGTATCTGTTTAAATACCTTGAAGGCAATCTCCACTATACTGACCACTCATCTTAGACAAATAAAATCCAGTCTCATTCCAAAACCATGCACAATTTATCCAAAATTGATCAATGCAAGATGTATTTGTAATCAACCTGTTATGTTTCACAACATAAATGTGTCAAAATACATAAACTGTCATATACAAAGCCAAACAATACCCTTGCAGACCTTCAAGCACAGATACAGGCAACAGGTACCTCAGATACACAACTTGTGTCAGTTCTACCTCGCAGCAGAACCACACACTTACAGTTTGAAACTTGTATTTCAGAGTATTGACTCCTGTCTGAATCTCAAAATCGTGGAGTCCTCATGGTACTTTGGAAATACAATAGATATATTTGTCGTATCTTTAAAATGATGCTTTACTCAAAACTCTGCAGACATATGTAAGTTGTGATAATTTATTTTTTAATTTTTACTTTGGTCATTCTATTCCTTCCCTCCCTCCCAGAGAACCTGAAATCTATTTTCTGCAAACTGATGCTAAAATTAGGTTTACCTGAAAAAATCACTGCATGCTGCCAGTACACAACGATGACAGGGAATTATTTCATCTTTCACAATAATTTTAAAGTCAAAAAATATATTTTGTTCTCTGAACTTTTGTAGTACTTTTAGAATTTGTTGTCCATGACCTTCAGCCACTAAGGAACTGATTTTATTTTCAGGAACAGAAATTCCATTGCAAATAGGTCTGCTAATGTAATCCCGTTGATTGGCCATGTTTTCTTCAATCTACTCCTGAAACTCAAACAGAAAAATAAGTAATTGATTCTACAGTCTTATTATTAAAAAAAAACCCCAACACCACAAAACCTGATCAAAAAAAACCACCAACCCCCCCCCCAACAAAATCAAAATACCATAAAAGGAACCAAAACAAAATGTCCAGCATTGAATTTAGTTTGTAAATCCGATGCACGGTTAGGAATTTGTGTTCTAAGTGGCTTTTACACTGAATTTGATACTTCTACTTTGCAAAGTATATCCACACAGCATATTTTGAAAAGCAAAATATCTGACATATATCAAAGAACAACTCTACAAATAATACCCACCTGTAGGATTTTTTTCAATAATGTCCACAGGAAGCACACCAAGGAGTGTGTTAAAACTTTTAATGGTCATTTAAGAGAAAGGCTAGTCCTAGGCTTACCTTCAAAACCCCCCAAACTCTTACAATTTAATGTAAAATAAAGATGGAAAAAGAAAACTTTGTGACATATTTTTAGATTCCCAAAGGCTCATCTGTATACTACAAATGCTAAATTCCAAACAGACCAATGGTCTCTCTACAGCTTGCAGTGGAAGGGAGAAACAGGCTACTAGATTGCTTCCTCGGAGGATTCCCATGAGGCACTCTGGACTGGAATAACAAACAAACAAACACCAACAGCCTGGCCAAATCACAGGATTGCTGGGGCTTACCAAACAGGGGCATTTCATGACAGTACCTCTGAGTGTTCAGTCAATTGAAACTGATTTTGCCTTGTACCTCTAGTCTTGCTAGGAAGCTTTGCCCACTGTGAGCTTCATTTACAGTGGTGTAAATTAATTGGTTTCAGAACTCGTTTAAATTTAAGACAGTGCAATCTCCCTTCCAGCAGCCAAGTGCTTCCTGATGAAAATCCCTATACTGGAGTGCATTTTTTTTCTGTGGTACATTGCCTTTTACTATTTTTTACAATGAAAAGATTTTACTCCACTTTGTCAACATAAAGAAGCTTTAAACATGAGTGTATTTTATTTACACCTAGTTAAAGAGCTATTTATACGTTGCAGATGCATAAACTGCCCTTACTGCCAATCTGAGTCAAGCTTGCCTATTTTAAAGCTTTAGGAAACATTCCAAGGTTTTTTATTGGAGACCTTTGCTTCCACAATTCCAATTAAATTAGCAACAGATAATGTCCCACCTGAGTTGATAAGGGGAGAAAAAATTCCAAGCCAAACCCAGAAACCAGGAAAATACTGGTTTTGGTTTTGAATTTCATGAGAAGAGTTATCTGATAACATGATACATTCAGAGCAAACTAAACCATCAGGCAGTCTTCTTCATGGGAGGGACTTTCACAGCAGACTGATCTATACTTTAGCTAGTCAGGTAGCTCCAATCACAAATAGACCTCCATGTCTCCTGGAATAGAAGAGATCCAGTGATCTTGCTCCCAGCACTGGCACCCCTGGAGCAGGCATCTTCTCCTTCCCATTAACATGATACATTCAGAGCAAACTAAACCATCAGGCAGTCTTCTTCATGGGAGGGACTTTCACAGCAGACTGATCTATACTTTAGCTAGTCAGGTAGCTCCAATCACAAATAGACCTCCATGTCTCCTGGAATAGAAGAGATCCAGTGATCTTGCTCCCAGCACTGGCACCCCTGGAGCAGGCATCTTCTCCTTCCCATGGCCAGACAATGTATTCACTC